GTCTGAGGCATGGTAAAAAGCCTCTACACGTTCTGTTAAACTGAACAGGGGAAAAACCTACAGTAATAATGAAAATTAGGGTTTCCTTTGTCTTCAGTGTAGCAGTGTCCTAAAAGAATAGAAATCTAAATAAATTACCATGCTGTTTAATTTCGGCTATTGATATTTTTGGGGGAAAAAAGAATAATCTACAATGTTTATGGCAGTGTTCTGTGCCTATATATTATATTAGTAGTTCTGAAAAATACTTTTAGGTCTTGTTGAAGCTTATCCATTAACAAGAGAGATTGCAATGACTTGAATAACTTAATAGTAAATTTCTCATCTCATTAATAAAGAAATGCAAAGGATATTAACAGAAATTTCTGTCTGACTTGTAGAGAACACTAAACTTTTAACGCATTGCAACAAAAATAAACTCATTTACTGCTGCACAAAAATGATTATGCCCTGTTTTTGCCTGCTGTAAATTTGATTTATTCCTATAGTAATTACAGCAGTTGATTTGGGGAAAGTTGAAAACATTTCTTTCCTCGAGCATAACAAGGCTTCTGTGTTTCCTTTGCAGCTGCATTGCAACACTTTGAACTTGCTTAGCAGACACGACAAAAGGGTTTAATTAAAATACTAGGAGGATGAAAAATACATTTGTCTGCATTAACTCTGTACAGTTCCTATTCTTTAATTCTAATAATAAAAAGAAATAATAGTATCACTAAGATAAGAGGTTATCCTTCCTTATTGTCTATGCCCTTCCCCAAACGCTTCAATAAAGGGTAGAGCAATTCTGCAGGAAGGTTTGGTAATTCTGCTGCATACCCTGAAGTACAATTTAATTATTAGCTGTTGGAAAATAGGAAAGAGAGTAAATAAACAGCCTCCAATGCCCAAGGTCACTATAAAGCACAGTTGTATGAGGAAATCCACTCATCATGACAAATAAAAATGCACGATAATTCCTAAGACATTTGCAAGTATGATTTCCTTTCTTTTCCAAGTACAATTCTCTTACTGTGTTCAGTTACATATTTTGAATATCTCTGCTTGAGTGCTCAATATACTTGGTTTAAAAAAGTTCAGGAACCTGTAAGTAAATCAGTTGCCCTAATCACCAAATGAATACATCAAATCTATGTAAAACAAACTCATTTTGGGTTAGAAAGCTAAATCAGTGCTTAACTTTTCGATGTGATATACCGTATTTTTCCCTCTATAACACGCAGATTTTTTCTCCTAAAAAGGAAGGGGAAATGTCTGTGCGTGTTATGGAGCGAATGTGTGGTCCCTGGAGCCAAAAAATCAAGCAAAAGTCAAATCGCTCTTCACGGAGAAGGGAAACCTGAAAAGAGGAAGTGGCAGCTTTCCTGTATTCTGCCTCAGGGTCTTACTGCCCACCCTCCTCTGTTTCGTTGCTGTGATTGCTGAAACGGAACAAAGAGCAGGGAAAGCCCCTCCCCTCCAGGCAAGCAGAGGGGAAAGTGTCGTCTCTGTGCTCCGGTACTGCTGGGGGAGAGGGAGAGAGAGTGGGGGAGGGAGAGGGAGGGGGAGAGAGAGAGAGAGAGAGAGAGAGAGAGAGAGAGATGGCTGGCTTGGGGGGGGGGACTTTTGCCTCCCACCCGTTAAATCCCTCTCCAGCATTCTTAGCCAGCTGCTTCTCTGCACACCCCTCTCATGTCCCTTCTTTGTTTTTCCTTCGCTCCCCACTTAAAATGTGGTTACAAAGCATAGATCAACATGGATCCTCAGGATCTTTGCATTGGGTCACCCCAAATTCACCATCAGATCACATAGCATGTCCATGGCTACAGCCTGCACCAAAAAAATCACGCACCCACTGTTGCCTGGGGCTGCAATGGTGCAAAAACGTGGTTAAAAAGCATGGATCCACAGGGATTCTCAGGATCTTTGCATTGGGTCACCCCAAATTCACCATCAGATCACATAGCATGTCCATGGCTACAGCCTGCACCAAAAAAATCACGCACCCACTGTTGCCTGGGGCTGCAATGGTGCAAAAACGTGGTTAAAAAGCATGGATCCACATGGATCCTCAGGATCTTTGCATTGGGTCACCCCAAATTCACCATCAGATCACATAGCATGTCCATGGCTACAGCCTGCACCAAAAAAATCACGCACCCACTGTTGCCTGGGGCTGCAATGGTGCAAACACGTGGTTAAAAAGCATGGATCCACATGGATCCTCAGGATCTTTGCATTGGGTCACCCCAAATTCACCATCAGATCACATAGCATGTCCATGGCTACAGCCTGCACCAAAAGAAGCACGCACCCACTGTTGCCTGGGGCTGCAATGGTGCAAAAACGTGGTTACAAAGCATGGATCGACAGGAATTATCAGGATTTTTGCATTGGGTCACCCCAAATTCACCATCAGATCACATGTCTGTGGCCACAGCATGAAGCACAAAAATGATACATCCACTGTTTCATTCAGAATGTTTTTCCCTTGTTTTCCTCCTCTAAAAACGATGTGCGTGTTATGGTCAGGTGCGTGTTATAGAGCGAAAAATACGGTATATATCAAGTAAGCATTCTACTTTTGAATTTTGATGAGGACCATACAAAACTGCCTTATACCAGTGCAGAGCATGGTTCCATCTAGCTCAGTCCAATTATTCTGGCTGGAATTTTTCATAGCTCTATCCAGAGATGTTGGTTTGCCTTTTGCATGCTAGCTATGTGTTCTACCATTACCCTTCAGGTTTTTGCCCAGCCTTTGTAGTGGTTGTCATTTCAAAAGCTGCGGTGGAAAAAAATGGACAGGGTGTGTGTGTGCTCTGTATAGATAAGTTTAATTGGTTACCAAGTTGTGGTATGCATTAGTACTTTTTGCTGTTGAATCAAAATGATTAGGAATCAATGTGTGTTTTGAGTTTGCCTTAAATTTGGCCTCTGGATATTTAGATGCATCGGAAGATACATCTGTTTTTGTGAGACAATGCATTGCCAAGAGTGCTGTTTTTCTGATAGCAGATATGACTCTTTGTTGCCTTCCTCTCTTGCTAATAAGGATCTCCTTAGCACAGGGCTCGGGATACTTTTTTCCATCTGACTTCTCCCCTCCATTTGAGTCAACATTGCCATGGCAGTGACCTTCCTTGGGTCACATGCTGGTGGTGTGTAGGGTCAGAGACATCCAACACTGTTTCTCTCAAAAGGTCATCACCACTCCACGCCTTTTCTTTCATACGTCTGACCTATTTTTGTTCAGGTGTATGCCATGAGAAGTCTGTAGTAGGTGGTTGGTATAAAATAGAACCAAATGTCTTTACACATCTCAGTATCTTGTTGCCCCTCCCATTGGCCTCACTGAGGCAGTTGCCTCAGACGGCAGGCTGGGGACAGCGGGGAGAGGCGTCAGAACTGGAACAGAAGGTGAGGTGCATCCTCATGCGAATTTGCTGCTTTTGCTGCTCCTCCTTTGGCTATGGCTAGGAGCTGCCTTTGTCAACTCAGTCACTTCCTGAGGGGGAAGGTCCTGTCTCTGCCACCTTAGAACCGGAGCCCGGAACAGGCTCTGAAGGCCCCGAGGACTGAACCACTCACTGCCTCCTGTGCTTGTACCCCATGGCTGCCACCTGGGAAGAGCAGGGCTGCTGCTGCCAGTTGCTCCACTCCAGCTCTAATTTTTGTTTCCTGTTGTCTTCCATGAGCCGATGCTGCCCCAAGGCCACCTCCAGCTGCCTCAGGCAGTGGTAGGGGAGGCAGCATTTTCTGTTTTGCCTCAAGCGGAAAAATGTATTGCACCAGCCCTGTCTGAGAGAGTCCATAAAATTGATTACCATCTTTTCTTCCCATTTAAATTTTAACCCACCTAGTCAAGCTAGGTGGTATGCACAGAGGGGTGGCATTTTTGTTGCAGCTCTTGGGTCAAATGAAAGCCATGGGATGTAAGGCTTTCATTATTTCATTATATTTGCTTTCTTCACTACCATAATAGAAATTCGTTTTGGGTTTGCCATGCTTTATGTTTTGCTGCCTAGCTGTTTTCTTTGACTCTTGGATTGCTGGGAAGAAAAGGTTCCCATTGATGGATGCTATTTCAATTCAGCACTTTATTTTTATTTTTTAATGAGAGTTGAAAGAGAGGGGTATGTTGGCAGTCATGGCAATGTTCCAGTGGAGACACTTTTCTAAACAAGTGCTTTATCACTCATCAGATCTTTAACTTAGATTGATTCAACAAATAGATAGGCAGGCCATTTACTGAACTGTCCCAATTTGTTATGACCAGGTGTGTGATCTGGAATTCAGTGCTGTTTCATAGGTTAGAAGAATTAGAAGACCAACTTCTGTTCATTAAACCATCTTTCACCTTATTCTAATATTTCTGGGTTTGATAGTAGGTGCAAACTTCATTATGTGATCATAGCTAAGGGTTGATCCAGAAGAACCAAACACTTTCATATGAAGACTCAGACCTGGAAAACGCAACAAGCTTTCACACTAGCATCTTATTGAGGGTTGCTGACACCCTTACACCATACATTTACTTCCAATTTTTCTGCTTGACTTTTTAACTACTGCAAAGGATTTCCAACTTCATTATCTATTCATTTAATAGTGATGTTGGAAAATCCTTGCACTTTTAAAAATTAATACTACGTACATAAGCACTGTAGAAAGTGTGCTGTGACTCATGGGTATAGGCCAGACATCTACATCCTGAAAGTAAAATCCAAGAATGCTCTTAAACTACAAAAGAATAGCTGGGGAAAATAGAGCATACATTCAGATATAAATGAAGCATTATAATGTGTTTAATTTTAGCAGTAAACTAACATAATTAGAGATGATGAGTGCAAGACATAGGCTGAACTTGTAACCAGGTTGCTAATGCATTCTTGAATTATAGTCCTTCTGCCTAGGGAGAAATACAGCTCTTCCATACTCATGATTATTTGTTTCCAAGTATTTTACCAGCTTCATGGAGCCCTGCCCATGTGATTTTTTTGTGTGGTTACTGCACAGCTGTCATCACATTTGAATACTACAAATTATGCTACCACAAATTTTATAGCTGAATTCCCTGCATTTGAGGAAATTGCTGGGGTCAGCACACTCTGAGGGCAATGGATGAGCCTCACAATGGGAAAACCTCCTTCATGATCTCCCCTGCCAAATGTTAAGTACTCATCATAATTTGTTTACAATTTGTTTCATGGAGTCCTGCTCATGTGAAAAATTATTTTTGGCATTTACTGCAAATTGGTCCTAAGAATTGTTTTAACACCATTTGTCACACTCTACACATAAGTAGGCACTGGACTGTTTTAGAATTTCTTGACCACTTCGATAAAAGTTTATCAGAGGATTGTTTATTGTCCTGAGTATGCATTTAAGACTTCAAGTACAATGTAGTTGTCTCATTTGATGCATTTTGGAGCAAACTCAGTCTGTGTTTTAGAAAAATTGAATTAACCACTGCTATGCCAAATTGTGTCTGCTATAAATATTTGTCAATGGTGTTAATAAAAGTAGAGTTCAATATACTTCTGTAGGCCCATAATACCCACAGAGCCAATCTGAAGCCAGATCGTTGGTCCCTTGTGCCATATTTATAACAAGCTTGTTTAATTTTATTGGGTGAAATTTCTCCTTTGGCAGGGAAGAGGAGATTAGGCATGCCACTGTTACAACAGGGAGGAAACCAATGTGTTTTGAGCAAATTACTAGCTCTGCCATTCTCTTGTTTTGCAAATAATCGCTCAATAGGATTGGGGGGCGGGGAATAAAAAAAGATGAGTTATAACAGTTTTGCTGTATACTTGTGACATGTATTTGAAACATGTGGCTCTTCTGGCTGCTTCATGGGCAGTCCTAAAATCAAGGCAGGCAACAGCTGTTAGTAGGTTCTTCACTGCTCTAGGAGTTTCTGGTTCTTAGCTTCAAACCTCTTTTCCCTTGACATCAGTGATAGCCTTGTCTTCTGAGGAAAGAGCCAGTTGCCCTTTGGGGTGCATGAATCCTTCAGCGATGAATGGCACAAAGCAGTAATTATTCCCTGCCTCTTGTGATCTGAGTAGTGGAAGCTGTGCGCCTGGGCACATCATTAAATTTCCAGGCAGCATGGTAGTTATAAGCCTAGGAAGAGAGTGATTCTCGTGGCATTTTAATATGTTGGGGGTGGGAGTACCCGGTAACAGGTGGTATTTAAAAACCAATTAATATTTGTGAATAACAATGTGTTACTGGTAAGAAAACAAATCAGCCTCTATGTGAATATTTATGATGCTGATTTTTCAGGGCTTCTGGAATTGCACAATATTTCTCCAGCTGCCATTGCATGTTATTCTGCTGTCAGAACAATCCTGCACAAAGCTGAACTCCCCCTGACAATGTGTAGCCAAGTTCCCGGGAGCGAGACAGTCAAGTAGATTAGCAGAGTGTAATTCTTGAACTGTGTATTCTCAATAATTCAATATTTAGGCAACCGAGTTCCAAACATTTTAAATATTCTTTGCCATTACAGTGAACTATGCAATTTAGTATACAATTTCATCCTATTAAGAGCCAAGCCATGCACACAGATAATGCTATGTTTGAAGTGAAAAAGGGTGTTAAAGGTTGTTTTGTCTCAGTGTTCTGTGAGAAAGTGTTTTACAGTAGATCAAACTTGCCTAATGGTTCTTCATAATACTTTCATTTGAACTGCTCCCTGTGGCTTGTGTTTGGGGGGACTCAAAGGGGAGAATCCACTTTGTTTCTTAGTGGGGCGGAGTTTTCTATTTCATGCATGTTCACATTGCCATTTGAAAAGGATAATGGGTTTTTAACCTCAGTGAATCTTAGATTGCAGTCTCAGTGCTCATGGAGCGTTTCTTAGTCTTTTACAGAGGAATAAACTTGTCTGTTTTTCTTTTTGTCTTATCATAGCCAAAAGCCCTGGGCTTCCTGCATCTTTTGTGGAGCATCTCTTCCTTTGACTAAGCAGTGCTTATTTTTATTTATTAAAAGTTCACTAAAATAAGTTATTAATTAAAGCTGCATTTTTATTATTTCAGTTTCGGTGCGTGTGTTTTTAACTTATTTACAGTGAAATTTAATTTAATGAAATCCTGCCTGGAATGGAATCAAATGGTTGGTAGCAGTCCTGGCTCTAGTCAACTTCCCAACCGCAATGTTTTTCTGCTGCATGTGGAGAGGGCAGGGGAACTGCTGGAATGCCGTACTCTAGCCACTGCTGATGCTAATATCTAGACATTTTTAACATGGTTGCATGTTTTGTAGCCGTCAAGGTACACAAGGCAAACTGTAGCGAAAGCACTGGTATTTCTGCTACACTGTTTTAAAACCCCCCCACTTTTCTTCTTCCAAGGATGGAGGGTAGGAGGAAAAGGAAATACAGTGGTACCTTGGGTTACATACGCTTCAGGTTACATACACTTCGGGTTACAGACTCCGCTAACCCAGAAATAGTACCTCGGGTTAAGAACTTTGCTTCAGGATGAGAACAGAAATTGTGCTCCGGCGGTGCGACGGCAGCGGGAGGCCCCATTAGCTAAAGTGGTGCTTCAGGTTAAGAACAGTTTCAGGTTAAGTACGAACCTCCGGAACGAATTAAGTACTTAACCCGTAGCTGCAGGCATGGCAGTACTTAACTGCAGCTGCAGGCATGGCAGGAGCAACAATTAGCAGTAACATCAGCAACAGTTGAGGAGCCTAGGAACTCCAAATTTAGGCAGGCACAAAGCCTATAGGATATTTCTCACCTGAACCTGTCTTGTCTGGCTGTATCACTCTGGGAACCTGGTAGCCTGCTTGTGGTCAGAAATATCACAAATCCCTGAAGCAGATGAGGGAATAGCCATCTGGCACCCCTATTCAGGAAGCCCTGAATGCTGCACACCAGGTGCTGCACACAATTCCCTGCACCTTTGAACACAAATGAAGTAGCTGCAACCCAATAACTTTGTTATCCCCTTCCCCTTATTATTGCAAACTGTGCTCTACAAAAGCGTGGAAAATACTAAAGCCACTGCCTGCAATGTGGAACCCTAAATTTGCAACCTTCTCCAACAGATTTTAGGCCATCTGCATTTGTGGTGCACCCCTGTCAGTGAGGTGGGTGTAAAGCCCCAGCACATGGCCTATCATATGTACATATTTTTTCCAACTTGGGGGGGACAACATGAAATAGGATAGTGTTATGGAGTGCTCTTGTTAACAAAAATAATTTATGTTAAGACAAATATTTTTAATGAATTTGGAAATACACAATCTGGTATTTTAATAGGGAAAGGTTTATATATAGTTAATTCTAGTCTATGTACCAAAGCAATTCCCTCACTAAGTATTGATCTAGAGTCAGGTGTATCACTTCACGTCCAACAGAAATCTTCTAAAATGAAGGCATTTAAAATAAGGAAATAACTGGGTTTGGATGTTGCAATATTTACTGGTTTTACTCTTTTTCACATCTAATCAGCAATAACTCATCAGTCAGTTCAGCATTTCTATTTGCTAGTAAGTACTAAAGTCTGCATAGGTTTGTGTGAATACTAGCTGAATACTAGCTCCATTTGAAAAACAATGCTGCTTAAAATAGTGTTTTTGTGTGGTTTATTGCAGAGCTCTTTTACTGCAAACTTGTTATAGTTATTTGATGAGGAAGAAAGGATGCCCTCTTAATTTTCTTGGGCTGAGCCCTGGCAGGAAAAACAAGTTCTGGTACAGTGGTACCTCGGGTTAAGAACTTAATTCATTCTGGAGGTCTGTTCTTAACCTGAAACTGTTCTTAACCTGAGGTACCACTTTAGCTAATGGGGCCTCCTGCTGCCATTGAGCCGCCGCCACACAAATTCTGTTCTCATCCTGAAGCAAAGTTCTTAACCCGAGGTACTATTTCTGGGTTAGCGGAGTCTGAACCTGAAGCATCTGTAACTCGAGGTACCGCTGTACTGTGTTTATTGCCCGATTAGGATCTGTCTAGAGGTATGACACCTATGCAAGTGAGTTTCTTGTAAATTCTGTTCCTTCCTTTTGATGGGGAATGAGAGAAGGCTTACTCCTTTGAAGTTGCATCAAGGTAGAAATAAAGTGCCAGATATCTTTCTTGCTTTTAAAAAAATCATTTGTTTTCTGTCTTTTTATGCTATAATTTTAAAGCATCTGAGCTGTTCGTTTGTTCTGCAAAAGCACAACACAAAGGCAGAAAGACACCCCTCCTTTCCTCTGAGTTGTCTGTAGTTCATGGGGGAAGAAGGAATATAGTCTCTGCCTCGTCCTTCTACATAGAAGGCAGAAACCACAAGTTATTGAAGATGCCCATCAGGAAGGCAGGGGAAATGTTGCTCCCTTCCTCTGGGTTTTATGCACGTACCATAAGGACCTGGGATGGTGGCAACCCAATTAATGGTTTATTAGTAAAGCAAGCACAGGGGGAGTGAGTAGGTAATGTGTGGTCTTGTCATGTGAAAGAAGTCGCAACTCCCATTGTTCCTGACAATTAGCAATTTTGGGTGTAACGCATATTTTTATTGCACTGAACACTCTTGTTAAGCAGCACAATACTAAATGTGATTACACTGAAATGGGAACATTTCATGCCATCATTTAAATTTAGGACCTGGTAAAATACATGCATTAGACAATGTTTATCTTAGTGTACTTTGTGATGCTTATTGTGGGTGAGACTTATTTTATCTGCTTATGATGTTACCTTAAAATTAAACACAAAATAATTGTTGGTAAATGACCATAGCAGTTTATCAAGTTGCAGGTTGTGGTGGCTACTATTCACGGAGTACAAAAGATCTTTAAATAGGATATCACCATTTTAGAACATTTCACCAAGACGCTGAGATGTATTTGTACTTGGCAAGTGTCCCCAGAGGTATTGCAGGATTTGAGAGAGAACCCTGTTCCATTGGCATCAAAGCCTGAAAAGTACTAAAGCTCTTGAGGTCTGAGAATCATAGGGCAAACTCTGCCAGGAGCAGATGGCTTTTCACAAGACAACTGTGAAAAACAAAGGTGGGGAGAGACCTGGGCCAAAATGATATGGTCAAGTGTGGTCAAAGAAGTGTTGCCTAAAGATGGAGAACAAATGGGAGAGCATCACAAAAGAAATGAAACAATGGGGGAACTAATTGGTAATGAGGGTTTACATTCTCTTTAACAGCTTAGGGTTA